CTATTAATCCTTCTAATCGCTTGTCTCCGCACCTTTAAAAAACTGCCCAGTTGACGTATTAGCTGGATGATCATAACCTGTCTCAAATCCTGTACCAAGTTTTCTTATGATTCATAACTTGTTATTTAAATTCTGCGACAAATGTGTAGGTATACGTGCGTAAATGCACCCACAACTCTAGATCTAAACATCATTTATTATCCAACGAGCGATTTAAAAAGGTGGGCAACATTACCACATTCTTCATCATCTTCATCCATAAGCAAACTGCTGTGCAAATCCCTCTTCTTTCAAGGAAAAGGTTCGGGCATTACTTGGATATAAACTACTAAACTTATATTTGAAACTATAAGTCCAAATTACCTCATGATGTTTTCCGTAAATGTATGGGAGTGGGGTCTAAATAATCTTAGATATGAAAGCAGATTAATTTTGAAAGCTTGTAAGGTTTCTTTTATTGAGAGCTAATTTCGCTTTTTGTACACCCCTAAAATCAACTGTGATAAAACGACCAGCTACGCTAGGTCATTGCCAAGCACTAAATCTTATACATGCACATATATTATGTGTATAGGTATAATATACAAACTAATAAAAAAAATAAGATGTCACTCCAAAACTCATATCGTAAACGCAACTCATAAAATGAGAATAAATTAAGGTAAGATGGCCAATTTCTGGCCACAAGCCAACTAACGTTAAATATGTTGATAAAATGATTTATTGCATGTTTTAGAATTAAACTTATTGTCGATTAGTCATCGTTGAAATGTGCATCGTAAAATTCATTGGTGTTTAATAAAAAAAAAATGTGTTTTGTATCTGTGCTAAATGTCAGTTGTATCAGATCTTTGATCTGTGGAACTGTGGAACTGTCAAATTGCCTGTCAAACAGTTTTTCAATTTAGATAATTACGATGATGATTAAATCAATGTCATAACTTTAAAATTTTCCGGGTTTCAGGTTCTGAGCTAAAAATATTTAGTTTATAACTGTCTGTTTAACAGAAACTAGCGTAATTTTTAATTTAAGTACTATAGGTTAAGGTATATAATTTAACAAAAGATTGAAAAATAATAGTTTCTTTTTCGACTAGTAGACTAGTATTTAAAGCAATAGTTAAATTATTTAAGAGAAAACTCAATGTAGAGCTTTTCATCTTTTGACAAATATGTTACTATGTCACATTTGACATATGTCAAAATTTTCGTAACGTCAAGCTATTAAGTTGGGTTGACGCTGGTCATGCTTTCCGTTGACTATCACTTCATTTAGCTCATAGCATATGGATCCATACTCATAATTATCAAAACTGATATCTCAAACTATCTTATTTTACCCACTACACCTTTGCTGAAATACAATTTATAGAGCGAGAAAATACTCTTTGATAAACTACAGCGAAAACTGAATGTATTGTCGATATATACGCAAAATATTCGCGTAGGATGTGTTGGAGAAGTATATTTAATTTTAGCTCGGTGTATCCAGAGCAGACTGATCGACGCTGTAGGGGAAATGGAGAATAGGCTCAAGGTTATTTTAACCCTTTCCTATTGGTGCCTCACTTCGCCAGTCATTTAAAACCTTTTATCTATTATTCAATTATATGTAGATACAATTATTTTATTAATCAATTACATATAGATAAACAGTTATGAATGGTTATAGAAATCGTGATAAAAATAAGAGAGAGAGAGGGGGGGGTCCGCTTAGGGTTTGAGCGATGAAAACTCGACGAAGAAATGACCTGCCAGAACCTACTGGGGATAAATCTAAACGCTGCACTCTGAATTTTTAGGGTCTTTTTGGGGCAATATCATCAAATAACTTCTGTCTGGTTCAGGCGAGAGGGAGGGTCACTCTTACTGAGTAAAATCACTCATTAAATACATACGCAATATTATACACTATATATTAACAATATGGCTTCTCCTATTAGTAAAGACACAAGCGTAGTCTTATGTTTATGGGTTCCGAAATCCGGCCATTGTGTAAACTCCATGGTAACATGTAGACAAATAGTAAATATTTGCATTTACACACACTAACACTTTCTGGAAATATTGCGTTAGTTATATAAGCTTGGAATCTTCATTTAGTTCCTTTTGGACCTTTGGTTTGAAGGAGTTTGTAGAATTAGATTTGTGAATGTTATGATTAAAAAAAAAATGTTTTTTTTTTTTTGCTAGCAGATTTTTAAGAAATAAGTTTGCTATTTGATAAGGAAGAACGTGACGTCACAACGCACAGTCTCGGAGAAAATTCATAATAATTAATACTTGTCATTATCTTTCTTGACTTACTAGCTACTCTCGCACGGTTTCACCCGCTGCTCAGCTCCATTTGATCGTAGCGTGATGTTTTATAGCCTATAGCACTCAGGAACATTGTGTTGAAAGATGAAAGAATTGAAAGTGAAAGAAGAAAGTGAAAAAAAAAGTGAAGAAGTGAAAGAATTTTGTAAATTTGACCAGCGATCCCAAAGATTACCCCCTACATACAAACTTACACATTTTACCTCTTTATAATATTAGTATAGATTTCAGACAACCGACTTACGAGTTGAATACTTCTTGAATGCCATAATGGTTAACAATGATTGACCTGATCTTCTTAAATATCTGTAGAGCATATGTCATGTATTTAAGCCATATTTTTTACGAATGGAATGTTCTTTAATGGATCAAAATATTCTTCTTTATTCGTACTAGAAATGCAACAAAACATATCAATCACCATTTGAAACCATTCAACTACTCCTAACATAACCGCGAAAATAATAAAATAAAATGAACGTCGCAATAAAATTAATAAATAACTCTCCACCTACTTATTTACGACAGATTTCGAAAACTATAAAACGTATTAAAAACAAGAAATAAACACAATTTGTGTCTGAAGTGGTTTTATAATGTGTTTATGTGTAAGATAGTGAGTTTGTATTCGTATGTGTGTAAGTGAAATATAAAGTGAAATATAAGTGATTACAATAAAAATGTCTGTCTGGTTGACTTTGGTCAAAAGTTCCCATTGGGGTCTTCCGTGTAACCCCAGGCCTGTGTTTGTAAGTATTTTGTAGCTTATTAACGTTTACCATTAAAATAAAAGTCTCCAACTAAATCAATCTTATTTTAAATGTTAACGATTTAAATAAATGAAATGTATGACTGCAGTCATTCTTTAGTTGTACCTACCTCAATTAGGTATAAGCGTATTCATCTTCTATTAAGTCAAAGTTAAATTCAAATCATTTAGGTACTATTAAACTCTTACATGCACTTTTGAACGTTAAACAAAGCTTAGCGATAAAAAGTGTCAGTCAGGCAGTCAAATGCCCGGTTTCCGAAAGGCCGATCAATGTTAAAATCAACTAACTAGGTGTCAAATCTCTTATCAAGTCATCTGATTGGTTGTTGATAATTCAGTCAACCAATCAGATGACTTGACAAGAGATTAAATTGATTTTAACATTGATCGGCCTTTCGGAAACCGGGTGTAGGTAAGTGAAGTTATTTGCTCGTTCCAAAGTTTTCGTTATTCCTATGTAGAAGAACGACCAAGAAAATCCATGGTTTATCTATTTCAATCAGTTTCACTAAAGTAAATAAATATTTTAGTTTACATATTTTAAAGAAAAGAAGAAAAAGAAAATTCAAAGCAAAACTATATTGAACTATACAACTTACTCACATGTTAGAATTTGATGTTAATCGAGTTTTTACAATGTATGTTCTTTCATTGTATGTATACAGTAGAATATATCTTCCCCCATCGAGCGATATCTTCCAAACCACTACACTAATTAAGTGTTAAGTATAAGAACAAGTATTAAATTCAAAATCACGCCTATTTTGAATCTCTAAGCCCCGCGTGACTCCTGTTAATTCAGTTCACCGACACGACGACGTACCAGAGTTCTAAATTAAAATACTCTCAAAAGAAAACAATGCACTATTTTTAACACAACACACCTAAACATTGTCTGTTAATCACAGTATAATATGAAATACTATTTCGAGTACATTGTTTTTCTTGTACAAAAAATTATGTTTGTACCAGCAAGAATCACATCCCCTGGCCTGGCAGCAAACTTCTTGTAACAAAATCCTCGCTTAGACGCAAGAAGAGGATTTAGTTTATGGGATAGTCTATGGGATTCGCTGATCTATGTGCGTTTCATTGCGGGATCCAACCAAGACTGTCATACAAGTCCCTAAAAAGCCGTGACTTCAGTGTTCCGAAGTTTTCATGGTTGTATTTGTATCTACTGTAGATCCTGGCTTACAGAAGTTGCAGAGGTTTTGAGATATGGTTTACCAGTAAATCTGCCCGCTATCCCAGAATAAGGAGCGGAATCTACTTGAATGAAAAAACTGAGTTTGTGTTTGTGTTAAATTTGGGGATCCCTCTCGTCTTCTGCCCCCATTTTCCACCACCAATTTCCAATAAGACGGCAATACACTCGTATCTCCTCTGTTATTGTGACTATCCATTGAAGTGCTAATTGCTTACCATCAGGGGATTAGCCTTAAAAAGCTTATCTTTTCCTCACACAGAAATTCTGGATTAAAATCGTCTCAAACGTCTCAAAACATTTCTTTTTTATCGTCCAAAACCACTTCGTCATTATCATCAGGTTTTTTTATGTAATAGTTCGGCTAACGAGCCGACGGATTACCTGATGGTAAGCAAACAGCGCCGCCCGTGGACACCCGCAACGGAGGAGTTACGAGTGCGTTGCCGACCTTTTAGGGATTAAGGATTTGGAGATTTAGGGTTTGAGGAGGGATTGGGGTAGGGGAAGGATTGGGCCTCCGGTAACCTCACTCACACGGCGAAACACAACGCTGTGGTTGTTCCACGCCGGTTTTCTGTGAGGCCGTGGTATCACTCCGGTCGAGCCGACACATTCGTGCCTAAGCATGGCTCTCCCACACTTAAGGAATGCCCTATTATCATAATAAATGCACTAAACTTTATGTTTCTTTGTCAACAGCTCCAAGTAAGAAATTCGCGCACAGAATCGACAGAGGATGACAAACGCAGCGACGACAGTCGGCCGCTGAGCCATGCCTCCGATTTTAGCAGGGATAATATCTGTAAGTACCATTAACAATCTTCTACCATCGATTTACTTTTTCTTTACATGACTGCTTATCTTTTGCAAACGTGGATAGCAAGCTCCTGGGATCCTAGGAGCCGACTTAGGAACTACACAAGGCCCAGTCAGACCAGGTGACAGGTTCTCTCAGACTCCACCTGGACTGAGGCAGCAGCGCTTATAGATTACCCTGATTCTGTGATCTCCGCGTGGATATGCAATTATAAAACTTATAAAAAGAACGCAAATTAGGCGTGGGAGTTATAGTAGTATCTATTGGAAAGGATACCTTAGGTTTAAAAAAAACAGTCTTCTCTGTCTTCTTCGTCTGACCGACAGACTAACACTTTCATCTTTAAGCCTTGTTTGACGTTCAAAAGTGTCTGTAAGGGTTTAATTGAAATAAATGATTATGACTTTTTGGCTTTCCACGACTTAGCAGTGTCATTTGGTACGCGATCTTAAACAATTTCCATAGGAAAATATAATGGAGTTTCTTCTTCTTTTTCAGACAATAAATTGCATGTGATGGTTATGTATTAAAACTAAAATATAAAATGTATTTCAACAGTATCTCTGAGCTCAGCTCCACGGCGCAGTCGACGTGGGGTAGCGCCATACAGTGAGTCCCAGCGACCCCTCACGCGGTACCTGCCTGTCGATAGAGACGACTTCGATCTAAGAAGACATGTCGAGTCTGCTGGTTTGTATACTTCATGTATATTGTGAGGATTGCACAGTGGACGCAGTGGCTGGGCAACTGGCTGCTGGGCTCGATTCCCGCACGGAACAACTCTTTGTGTAATCCACAGAATGTTGTTCCAGGTCTGGGTGTGATGTGTATGTGAATGTTTGTAAACGCACCCACGACACAGGAGAAAAACCTAGTGTGGGTAACGTTTCATTAAAGAAATTAAAGAAAAATAGAAAATAATTTTCTAAACATATTGAACTATATACAACTTACCCACTTGTAAGGATAGGGCACCAACCAGGGTTGCCAGTGCAAGCGCATTAATGTACCCTGAAGCAGGAGAAGGAAGGTTTTTTTAGTCAGTAAGAGTCTGACAGTCCCTCTCGCCTCAGCCAGAGCGAGAGATGACATAATGATTTAGATCCATTCAAAAAGAAAAGTAGTATACTTAATAAATATACTTATTCCTTAAAAAAATCTAGACAAATAATAAAACTAAGCCGCTATCAATCGAGAGTGTATCGTTATTTCCTATAGGAACACTTATATGATGATTTAGTGATTGAAACAAAAACTATTTGTTTTAGACTTAGTGGTTAATCGCTTTTGTAATCTTTACAGTCTTCTAGCAAAGTAAACATGAGTTTTTTCATATTTTCAGGTCACCAAATAGAAGTTTGTCCGTACCTGACGGTGACTCCGACCTCCTGTCGTGGCTACCTTCACAAACTCGGCGCCAAGTTCCACACATGGTCCAAACGGTAAGTCTCTTTACTTCAACCGGGGTTGCGGGGTAAGCGCAATGAGTCACCGCAATGAGTCACCGCGGCCTCGGCCTATAGTAGGAGAAGGAACGGGGGGTTTTTTGTCAGTAAGGGTCCGACACTCCCTCCCACCCCAAATGAATTCATAAGATGATTTTCCTCACAAAAAAAAAGTGTGGAAGAGTCATGCTTCAGCATAAACAGACTATTACCACAGCCTCACAGAAAACCGGGGTGAAACGCCGTTTGCGATGTGTTTCGTCGTGTAAGGGAGTTTACTGCAGACCTTACGCGTAACTAGCGCCAAATCTCGGAGGCGGAATTCTTATTAATTAATTTTTATTATTTATAGCTGCTTCATTATGTGCTTTTTGTGATTTTAATGTTAACTTCTTAATTGTATTTTTTTACTTAATCAGCATTTAAGAGCTCTAATTAAAGTCTGTCTGTATGTATCTTGGTTGGTAAGCTTTAATAAAACAAATAAAAGAAAAATTCCATACTTATTATGTTTTCGTTACAGGTGGTTCGTTTTCGACCGCGAAACGAAAACGTTCGTCTACTACTGGGACAAGAGCGAGAAGAAGCCGAGGGGGGGAGCCTACTTCCAGGTAAATATACATATTTTACTTTTACTACACTTTTGTAGCTAAAAGATATACTACGAACTAAAATTTTTTTTACATGTCAACTTCAAACTCTATTACTTACTATTTTTTTTTTGTTTTTTTTAAGTAATAGGTCGGCAAACGAGCAGACGGATTACCTGATGGTAAGCAATCAGCGCTGCCCATGGACACCCGCAACGGAGGAGTTACGAGTGCGCTGCCGACCTTTTAGGGATTAGGGGTTTGGAGATTTAGGAACTGGGGAGGGATTAGGGAAGGGGAAGGATTGGGCCTCCGGTAACCTCACTCACACGGCGAAACACAACACTGTGGTTGTTTCACGTCGGTTTTCTGTGAGGCCGTGGTATCACTCCGGTCGAGCCGACGCATTCGTGCCGAAGCATGGCTCTCCCACACTTAACTCCCACATTATGGCACAAGTGTGGTGATTACCGCTGAGGCACATTGAAGCCAAAGGTTAAGGAGCCGAGGACGATAATCTTCAATACACACGTGTATCATACGACGTTTTTCAACACACTTCAATAAAATGAATAAAACAATACTTAAATAAAAAAGCGATTTAATCAAAAGATTTGATTTAATTTAGAGATTGTTTCTTTTGTTTTATATTAAACTTAATTCAGTAGTTTTTATTTTTTAAGGAGATTCAATTATCTTTAGTTGTGATCTCATCTACTGTAATTTGAAATTCATCCTATTTAATTTTGCTGTATTTCAATTTGTAACAGCCTTGAGCTATATATATATATATTTTTTTTTTGTATTTGGTTAATTCCTGTTTTATGCCAACTAAATATGTATGATGTGGTTCCCCATAATTGGAGGAACACAAGGCAGTATTAATGTAACATGTTGATTAACATAGCATGTAAGTGTATCTTCTGTCGGGAATCCAAATTAATAAATAAATAAATAAAAGAGATAACTAGTTGTGAAAAACTGTTACTCACTAGTGAATAATGGTAACGAAAAAGTCCCAGTTTGATTATAGATGTCATTACGTGCCTAATTGCCGTAAGATTGAGCCACTTTATGAGGAAGTATGTTGAAAAAAAATTACATAAGCACTATGACTCAAATCGGAAGTCCTAACTAGACCTAGAGTTTCAGATCAAGCTCTGCCACGTCATTCGTTTTGTCTTTCTGTTTCAATTTGATAACCAATTTAAACGGTCTCCTGACAATTATATTTTTTAATTCTAGGTCATAGAAGAAGTATATTTAGACCACGGAAACACATCGAAATCACCGAATCCCTTAACTACGTTCATCGTGAAGACGAGGCAACGTCGCTACTACCTCATGGCGCCCTCTGGCGAGGCAGCGAGAATATGGATCGACGTTATATTCACTGGGGCCCAAGGCTATACCGAATATTTAGAATGAAAACACTAAAAACAGCACTGAAGGAAGTATATTTTAATTAAGATCTGATTTTTCCGTTAAAAATCAGACTTTTTGAATAGAGTCAGCAGGCGTTCGATTTTTACGATGACAACACCTGTTTTTTTAGTCTGGCAATGTAGGTAGGAAATGTCAAAAATAAAGCAAGCAAGGCTTTTAACAAAGCAGAAGTTGTTTATGGAGAAATATGTAATACCGTCAAATATTTTTGACATATTCCGGCAAACGGCAAAAGCAAATAAGTAATCTGTTCTTATCACTGCATGAGCTGTCATTTGGTAGGTCAAATAATGACATTATACAGCATGTTTATTTGTTTAAACAGTCAAGATAATGCTTTAAAAGATCAAAGTTGTCTGAAACTCAACTAATTCAGTTTATTCCTTTATGATGCGTGAATATTATTTTATTTTATTTTTTATGTTTATCGGAATTAAATATGGCAGTTATTTCAATTAATTGCGAGTGGAAATGGTTTATTTACGCTTCATATGTAGGGGATAAACAGAGTTACGTCCGAAGTTGTCAATCTTGAGAAAAACGCACCGTGATAGACCAAAACGAAACACCAACTTATCTTTTTAATACCTGACATAGAGGTAGGATTTTGTAATACAAATCACATTCGCTCATATAATTCCATTTTTAATATAAACTGCCAAAAATCTTTTATAGATTAGTTTGCCATTGTAAAAAAACATCTAATATTAATCACCGTCCCTTTCATTTTAGCTTAAATGTCACAAAGTAAATAGTACTTACCGTTATAGATAAGAAAGTCTAAAATCCATCAGTACCATAGATTCTTAAGTACATTTCATTTAATCTTGTCAATTACTCGTAGATAGAAAGTTGTGGGTGGTTTTTAATATCCGGTTTATACAACGGTAAACCGGATAAGCTGATGAAAGTGGAGTTTTAACCAATATAAATTTAAGAAAACTTTATGTTCAGTGAAGTTTTCTTTACATAATAATACTTAAATATGCGATTCGAAAACTTTTATTGGATACAAAAACTGTATCTGAAATAAGGAAAAATGAATTGTATTTTAACCGGTTACGACACGATGTTGTGTGGCCCAAAATATTTTATTAATATACCTAACTATACATTTATTATGATGCAGTATTTTATCTCTAAATCTCTATAAATATATTTTCTTAACAATATTTTATTCAATGGAATTTAATGTCTCGATTTTAGCAATAAAATAAAACTATCAGTATCCGGTTTTGGTGCAAAATGACGCCATTTTATCCGATTGTTTTTGTACGAAAACCGGATATAACTGGTTTGTAAACGGATAATAAATAAAAGTGCCAATTTTTATGATCGTCCTAATTAATATTATGGCAGCTATTTTTATACAATAATTATACAAAATCGGGTGAAATCGGTGCCTTGTATAAGACTGAAAAACACTGAAAATTATGAAAAACCTGTAATGTCATATGTCTTTAGTATTAAAAGATTGCTTGCATGAAAAATAATATATAGAATAAAACTACAAATGAGTGTGATTTTGAATTTTTCATTTTATTCCAAATTATTTATTAATATTGCTATTTAAGTATTCGTTTTAATAATGAAAATAAGTGATTTTGTATGTATTTAGTATTGTGTGCAATTATATGGCAACACAGGATTTAACAAAAAAAACTGAGATTTTTTATGAGAATGTTAGATTTTTTCTACTAGACACAGAATGAAACATTTGTACAAAATGAGGTTTACAATTAGAATCTTTATTGCAATTAAATAAAGATAAAATTAATATAATTTTATCTCAGTTTTTTTTGCTACAGCTCTTTTACTTAATATTTCTCATTCTGTTTTTAGTGGAAATTAATCTGATATTACCTACTACCATATATGCAACCATAATTTGAATGCCAAAAACTCTTTTAATTTTTTAAACATATTGTATTTATTCTCTGGAATAAAGTTTTAGAGAAATCTTTGTATACCTAATGATAGTCTTTAAAAATAATTAAAAATTCAACAGTGGTTGCTTTTGTGGTCTTACAAAGGTATATTGTACTTACAAATACATCGCCATTGCATTCTACATTATGTAATTAATATTTATTCTATTTACTATGAAAGTAATTATTTATTTCTTTTTCTTTGGGCGTTATACCCAGAAACAAATTAAAATGTAATCTATATGTATTTTATTACATAATTTGGTGCAAAAAATGCCATAGGATTGCCAGGAATATTATCATCTAAATACTATTTTATGTTTATTTGTATTTGCAACCCTGAGTTGGCTTTTTTAGGATAATTTGCACGCTTGATGCAGTAAGGTTACCGTCTAGAGTATAAAGATGTAAATGAGTTTATGTGTGTCGCGGGATCAAGCATGTTCACCGCTTTCTTGTAGCAGAATAGCCACCGCCATTTTAAAACTAATTTGTAATCGATAAATTACATGGCAACACTGTATTTTATGATCTGGCTATACAAGCTTTTATATGGCAACTATTGAGCTGTCAATAAATTAAGTTACTAATTATAACAAATGAAATTATACAAAATTACCGTTTTATAATAATTTTTAAGTACAAAATTGTGATTAGTTATCCACTCGTATTACCAGTGTATAAAATCGTTTTATAGGTTTGCAACATTGTATTTTCTTGCGTAGTATAAAGGGCTGATACCAATTTTACTTTAGCATTTAAGGATAAATAAATCACATTGTATTATTAACCTAATGAAATTAAAGTTCATTTTATTGTAAAAAAAACCTTTTTTTTAATACTTATTCCCTCAATGATCAATTAGTGGCCTAAATCGTATCTTGGTTCTGAAAATCCTTACTCGGCATCCTTGGTAAGTTCTCCAAATCAAAATAACAAGAATAACTACAAAATATAAAAACAGTCTCTTTCTGTATCTACCCTATATCCCTATATGTAGGCTTAATTTTTAAAAATACGTTACAGATATTGATGCAGTTTTGTGATTGAAGAAGAGGAAGGTTTAAATGTACAATAAAATCCCTTTTATTGAGAAATTTAATACCAGCATGCACCCATGCGAAACCGGAGTGGGCTGCTAGTTTTAATAATAGCAAAAGTAATGAGACAGTACCAAGGTGTGCATAGGCGGAGCTGATTGCTTACCGTCAGGTAATCCGTCTGCTTATGCTCGTTTGCCGACCATATATAAAACACACACACATACATAAAACAAAAATTGTATTACTGTAATTAATTACACAATCACTACATGAGTCCCGTTATGACATAAAACTGGAAGAGATTTTGTAACTTAATTTCGAAATAAAAGAAAAAAGTAATTAAATTAATAAAAACTAAATAAATGGTCTTTTTAGAGAGTTAAAAGGGCGATGTATGATTAGCAGCACGAATGCAATAGACGCTAAATATCCATGAAAGCAACGACCGGACTAATTAGGCCGCGCTTTGTACTGCCCAGCCCAACACGGCTGCAGCGTGAGTTTGTATGTTATGACACGACGTATAAACAATTAAATTACTTAAAAATTTAACTATGACCACACTGTAACTAATCGCCAATGTCAAAAGAGACGTGTCTGACACTGACAACTGCACTTCTGACTTCATTTGACTCATAGTCATCTCATACTTTGATTCTTTCGTTAACGAAACGAACGTTTTCATTAATATTTATTGCCAAGAAAGCAAAGTTCGGAGTCTTCGGAGACTATAAATTAGTATTTAGCTAGAATAAGCAGAGTTTGCACGTGTATGTCCCATAATTACTTTGGTTAACAGAGTAAACAACTTGTTACATTGAAATAAAAGTGTCGGAAGTGCAAAACCGGACAGGAAAATGGAAGTTGTGAAGAAAATCCAGCAATTTATCAGCTACTGGTACGTTCGTTATCTAGTGGCAACTGAATTATACATGGTGGACACGTGGGAGAAGGTCATAGTGCGTATCCTTTTCAAAATAAACCAAAACAAGGTTTTAGGTTAAACTTTCTTTAATAACTAATATGGAGTTGATGAACTCAAACATTGTTATAGAATACTGTTTTCTTTTCACTATTTTTTATAATATTTAGCATACAGTAACCTAAATAATATAAGGTATTACCCTAAATAATTTCAGTTCGTGTTTCAACAGTTTTCTTTTTTTGTCTACGATATTTTCGTTACGGATCGATGTTGCCGACCTTCTCTATCAATACTATTAACAAAAAGACTGTTAATCAATGTTAAGTTCACATCTCTCATGAAAAAGTAGGTCAAATCAGTTCAAACATTGATGGTTATTTATTTATTTAATACGATAAGGTAGGCTCACAGCTCATGTAAACAAAGTAGTTAGAAGTTATCTAGGTTATTTTATAAAAAAATAATATAACTATCAACAAGGCAGACTTGAACAGATGTGATTATAATATGTATTAATCTTGCTGTTCAATCACTCTATATAATAAAAAACCACATCAAAGTCCGTTGCATAGTTTTAAAGATTTACGCATACATAGAGATCTAGTTAGATTCTGTATTACTTACAGGAATTGACAGGAAGAAACTGAATAAAGCATAAAGTTTACCTTGCCTATCTTATATATAAAAATGGATCGCAGAATGTGTTGGTAAGCACGTAACTCAACAACGCCTAGACCAATTTTGATAATTCTTTTTTGTTGTGTTTGTTATTCTCGGGAGAAGGTTCTTATCCAAGAAAATATTAGAGGAGTAGAGGGGAAGATTAGGAAAACCTTCCCCTTTGATAGCGAGATAGTTGGACCCGTGCGAAGCGGGGGAGGGCCGCTAGTAATAAATAAAACAATCTCTGTAGTTTTAATATACTACATCAAAAGTAGTTCAGTAGCATTGATAGATCATAATATCAGCAATCTATGTTTCCTGTCTCTCATACAACAAAACTATGTACATATATACATAAATAACTGTAATCACACAAGTACAAAAATCTTCAGTATAAAGCCGAAAGCTTGTTCACATCACTTTCTACTTAACTTTCACTTTTTACTTGAAGCCTTGAAACTGGTTTTAATGTTAATCTTTAAATAGGAAGTTATTTATTATGTTTATATTATTTATAGTTTCATGCCGTGTTGTGGTATAAATAGATAATTTATTATTTAGTTGCGTTCATAGCTATCTTTACTATAGGATATGCTGACCAGCCAGTAATATTATATTGTGGCCCTGACCAGCAGAGCAAAGGGTAGGAATGGGGTAGTTTTTAGTAATTAAGAGTCTGCTGCATCACTTGTTAGTCATTAAAAGATATTTCCCTCGGAAAAACATTAAAAACCTGGCAAGCCTGAGAACTAGAACTTATTACTCCATTAGGTAGCAGCATTATTAGACTTATATTGTCAAAATTCTGATGACGAAACAACCCAAGCATTGTTTCGCGTGGCCGTGGTATAAAGTCGATAAATAAGTTTTTAAATTAAAAAAGTCGCAAATATTTATCGCGCCATCCATGGCCATGCTATAGTGAAAAATATGTTTCTAAATTTAAAAAGTCACAAATATTTATTCCAACTAAACCTTATAGTGATACTTTTGAAACGTTTAAAATTGTAATTAGAATTATACTTCGTCAGTGAAAAAAGTCATTGGACAATTAGGATTCGAAAATCTAAGACTATATAAACAAGTCTCTTTTTTTTTCTTTTTTTCATTGCCTTTACACTAATAATATGACAGGGAACTCGAGGTCAAGGTGTTACCCCAATAATAAAACGGTACCGTGTCCCCAAAACAGCATTCCATTCAATTTCTTATACTAAATAGAATAACGGTTTTCAGTGCAACTTTACCAGTACATTGAACCTTATATAGATTGACAATAAAATCCCTTTTCGCATACTTCGATTATAACATAACAGTTTACTTAGATCCTCATTTGCGTTGGGTATAAAAAAAAAGTAAAACGTGCCTTCAGCGCAAAAGTTCACTTGAGGTCAAAATGATTAGGTAGGTACCTAAATACATTTTTTGTCTTTTGTTACTAAATATGGCGCCGCCTAAAAATGTTTTTCGTTTTTTATAATGTTTATATAAGTAGGTACAAACTTTTCAAAACGAAAATCATAGAAACTACTACACTTGGTACTTAAATCCATAGTATGTATTTATAACTTCTCTGATGATGCTTGTTTTGTGCATTTTTATATTTATCTCTGCATCATCCAAAGGTTTGGCTGTCAGAGAATGCCCATGGCATTAAGCCCACCTTTGTACATTTGTTTTTGTGCATAAAGATATTAAATAAATACATAAATAATCCAGGAAAATTATCTTGGATAATTTCTTCAACTAAACATTTTATGACTCAATTCTTATCAACTAGTATTCTTTATAGATAAAATTACTACAAGGGGCTTATATATTGATGACTTCTTGATGTCTTCCAGTTAGTGGGACAAAGATATACCTTTTATAAACTCACGCTTTTTTCACATGGGAATTCGTAGAAACTGCACGACGGCGACAACTTCTTGACTTGATTTTGGACTTTACAGTCTTTTCATCTCCGCACATCATTGCCCAAGATACCTAACTATCAGGAACAGCAAAGCTCAGGCGAATTATTGAAATTCGAAATCAAACGAAATTTAAAAATATACCTATGTCCAAACAAACTTATTATATTATTTTTGTAAATAAATCTCCCAAATGTCTGAACTATTCTTGCATATTATATCGT